CCAAAGAATCCCAAAACACCAAAAGAACCTATGCACCGCAATGTTCATAGCAGCACAATTAACAATAACCACGTGGTGGAAACAGCCTAAGTGCCCATCAGTAAATGAGTGGATCAAAAAACTGTGTTACATTTACTCAATGGAATACTACACAGCAGAAAAGAAAAAAAGAACTACTACCCTTCGCGACAAGCGTGGATGGAACTGGAGAGCATTATGCTAAGTGAAATAAGCCAGGTGGGTTAAAGACAAATACCATATGATCTCACCTATAAGTGAACCTAATCAACAAAATGGACAAGCAAGGAATATATAACCAGCAACATGGAAATGAACACACTGACAGTAACTAGGGGGGAGGGGATAATGGGGTAAAGAAGGGGAATAGTCATCAAGGAACATGTATAAAGGACCCATAGACAAAGACAGCCAGAGTGGGGAGAGGATTGAATGTGGGAGGTGGGGGTTCGCAGGGTCAGGGATTATAATGAGGGGGAAATGTGGACAACTGTAACTGAATAACAACAACAGAAAGACTCTCAAATCCAAAAATAATTGCTAAGTTCATCATTGGTCTTTGTAATTGAGTATGAAGTAGTAGCAGCTATATTCAGTTTACTAATAGCCTTTTAAATGTCGCTTTTTGATGTATTATAGTACTTCATATGTTCACTACATCTCCCAGACTTATTAGTTATCACAAACCACTGGATGGAGTTTTGTACCCTATGGAACTCGACAGATTACGGGCAATAGGACCGGGAGATACACACATCTTTATCAGTGGTTGCTCCAGGTTGTAGGTTCTGCTGGGCTCACCTTTTGCATTGCCAGCATTTTGGTCAGAAATCCTGAAGGGGCTGAATCGGCGGGGCTCACATAGTATCATTGTTTCGTGGAGATCTTGTTATTGAAGATCCCTACCTTTGATCAGATGGAGGACTATGGATACTTTAAAACTGCACTTTTAGAGATACTAGGAGCTTTGACTATAATTGGCTCTCTGGTCCCACAGTGTACATTGTGAAGTCCAGTTTATAGTGTAAAGTGTGATGACAATGCAGAATTGTTCATTGATGTCGTATTTTCCCAAAGAAAATTAAAAGGAAGAACTAGGAAGTTAGCCTTCTTATCTCCCTTTTCTCATTTTATACCTTTATTTTTAGATTAAACATTTTTTTCAGAACTACCAAAATTAAATAGATAACATATTAGACAGTGGGTTCCTATAAAAGGTGCCCCACAGCTACCTACACATACATATGACCTCTCCTTGAAGGAAAAAAGTATAAAAATTTGGGTTTAAAAAATAATTTGTTAATAACTATTGGATAGCATTTATGTTTGAACTCTAAATAACCAAAGGGAATGGAGGCTTAATCTTATAGTTGGTATTTTTTTAGAGATTTTACTTATTTATTTTTAGGGGGGAGGCAGGAGGGAAAAAGAGAGATAGAGAAAAATTGATGTGTAACAGAAACATCTATTGGCTGCCTCTCACATGCCCCCAGCTAGGACCTGGACTGCAACCCCAGGCATGTGCCCTGACCGAACGGAACCAGTGACCTTTCGCTTTGCGGGACGATGCTTAGCCAACTGAGCCACGCTGGTCAGGGTGTATGTCACATTGTGGGTCCAGAGGTACATGCAGCCAGAACAAAGGCTCCATGGTGTCATCCAGGATGCAGGCTCCTCCTCCCTGCTCTGCCATCTTCCATGTGACATTTGTTCCTGTGACCACAGTAAGGCTGCCACCCCTCCAGGCATCACATCAGCTAGGAAGAAGGGAGAAGAACTGAAGCTTAAAAGAGGGGCTGGTTGAGTCTGACCCTTCTAAAAACTTTCCCTGGAAGACTCTGCTGGCAACTTTCACACCCATTTCATAGACTAGGAATAGCTAATAGGATCCATCCCTAGCTTCAAGGGATTCTGAAAAGGGTCTGTTTTAGCTTTTCAGATCTCAGTTTTGAAGCAAGACAAGAGAAAAGCAGAAAATAAATGGCTATTATTACGTTGCTTAATATCTGTTGAGTGAGTACCATATGCACATTTTAAGTCCTTTATTTCTATTGTTTCTGTAACTGTCACATAACTTTCACATGAGAATAGGTCTGGTTATTATCCTTACCTTACGGATGAGGAACTGAGGTTCAGAGACTTTACATAGTAAGCTGGTTAATATCACACAGTGCAAACTAGACTGAACCTAGATATGCAATGAGGCAGTATTTATTCCAGAGCTGGTCCACTACAGTAACACCAGAGTCAGCCCCAAAAGACCTCAGCATAAGCTTCAGATATAACTTTATGGAAGGAATGTAGATTTTACTCTAACATGAAAGACTTTTAATATATTTTTCTCTTTTTATTCTTTGTCTAGCACTTATAATGGGTATCTAATTATATTTCTAACAATCCGCGACAGTTTTTCTTTCTTTACAGATTTGTCAGCTTTTCCCGTTTACCATGTATTTTCTCTCCATGCTGAAGATATATGCAGACAAATGCAAGGCCTGAAAACTGAGCTCTAACTATTAATAGAAGAAACAGGTGTTTTTCATAGCGGAGAAGTACTTAGGAGTGTGCCTTCTACTAGTCTGATCAGTTAAAGCTTTGTGCTTGCAACATTTGACTCTGGTAGTGGTGCATGCACATGTGTGAAATATCAAACATGGATGTTTACAGTAAATAGTACACCTGGAAACAAAATTTTGAAAGTTAAATAACCACAACACTTCTATTAGATATTTAAAATTTCATTTAATGGTGACTTTTGTAAAATGACTTCCTTCCTTCCAGATCTAGAATTTAATATAATGATTTAATCATGTAAATCTTGGTATTCATTAAATGTAAATTTTAGTTCCTTTGTGGAAGAGATGAATTCTGTTCCCAAACTGGTATGTTGTATAAGTGTGCTTGGATTTATTCTTAACTTTTTCCTGTTCATCATTAGATTAAGTTAATCTGTACTATCAGATTCAATTCACTTATACATTGTTACTTTCTTGTTAACCAGTTGAGAAGCCTGGGAACTTCGTGGGTTCACAGGTTGAGCGTATGTTCTTGGCTGGGAAATAGGGGCTGATCTTTTCCTGCAGTTCATTGGCATTTCTAGATCTCTTTATTTCTGCTGACTCTGGCTTCCCACAGAGAAAACACATAACCAGTTGTTGGTGAGAGTCAACTACCCTAAAAATAAAACAGAATGGGCTGGATCTGTTGTACGCACCACTCCTAGTTCAGACTTGCAAGAATGGTAATTGACATTACAGTAACTGGTATTTGGACATTCAACACAATTTTTGTTAAAATATACTTAAATTCTTTTTTTAAAAAATTTATTTTAGAGAGAGGAGAGGAGAGGGAGAGAAACATTGATTTGTTGTTCCACTTACTTATGCATTTATAGATTGATCTTGTATGTGCCCTGACCAGGGATTGAACCCATAGCCTTGAAGTATCAGGATGACACTCCAACCAACTGAGCTACCCAGACTGAATTATCTTTCAGTGTAGGATTTTTTGATGTGAAGGAGATCCCCAAGGCAGTTATTCTGAATTGAAAACTCCAAAATAAAACTGTTAATAGAATCTATAGAGTAATTAAATAATGTAGTTGCCACCCCCTCCCACCTTGAAAAAAAGGAGAGAGAAAATGTTGGCTGTATTTATTGTGGGTTTGTTGTTTTTTGGGTGTTTTTTTTTTTTGGTGGGGTTATGCATGAAAATGACTGTGACTCATCTATTTATTTGTATTGGTTGCTTAGGCATTTCCTTTGGGTAGGCCTACAATGTGTTAAAATTCAGTAGATTAGATAGCAAATGCATGTGATGAGAGAACAGTCAAGTTATTAAGTAGCTTTCTTTTCAAGGTTTTAATTGTGGTGTTTTTATATTCCTGGATTTTAATTGTCTGAACTATTGAGTATTGTATTTTGTACCCTCCCTTATTTCCATCTTTAATTTTCAGAAAGAGCCCATTTCATTTTGGTTTATGAAAATGTGTGTGATTTATGATTCATTTATTATTATTTTTATCCATGTTGTTTCCCAGCCAACAACTGTCTTTTGCAGTCCTGATTGATTTGTTTCATTGTGACTTAGTCTTGAAGAATTAAACTCTCCATTACTGACATTTAAGGTTTTGGGCGATTAACTTTTGTAATCATTCTTGATCAAATAAATTCAACTCATTGTGATGGAATGTATGGCTTTTGGTGGACAAAAATGACTAAGAGACTCAGAAGGATCTGTAAATGTTTCTGTAGAAATTCCAGTTGGAAATATTGTTCTATTGTTTTAGGTAACTGAAAACCATTCTGGTCACTGTTATCATGGACTGTGTGCTCTACAAAAACACCATTTATGATCAATGCTGGGCAAATGGACTGTGCTCTCAAATCATTCCTGTTGTGTTAGAGTCACCTTACAAAAAGGCATGGGCTTGGGTACATTTGTTGTGTGGCTTTGTACAGACCTTACCTGGGATTGATTGGCTGTTGAATTCTGGGGACCAAAGTTCACTGAGCCCCTCTGGATTGTGCTAGGAGGTTGATCCTGAATCATTTGCCTTGCGTTGGTTCCAGGGAAGCTGCCCGGGAGTGTCGCAGGAAGAAGAAAGAATATGCCAAATGTCTTGAAAATTGTGTGGCTGTGCTTGAAAACCAAAACAAGACTCTCATTGAGGAACTCCAGGCCCTTAAAGATCTTTATTGCCATAAAGCAGAATAACTGTCTTTGACTTCGACCTTGTTTACTGTGAACTCTAATCAAGGCAGGAGATGCAGCAGTTCTACTAATTACTATGTAGACATATGGAAGGGATACTTGTGACCCTTGAGAATCCTGCTTGGCTTAGTGTTTAAAATTGAGTTGGGAGTGTTGTTCCAAGATTTGGAATGCAACCATGATCTCATATACCAAGCTCACTTCAGCCTGTTTGTCAATGACATGCAAAAATTGTTTTGTTTGCCCTTTTGCTTTTTTTTTTTTTTCAGGGAAGCTGCTAAAGAATGTCGACGTCGAAAGAAAGAATATGTAAAATGTCTGGAGAGTCGAGTTGCAGTGCTGGAAGTTCAGAACAAGAAGCTTATAGAGGAGCTTGAAACCTTGAAAGACATTTGCTCTCCTAAAACCGATTAGTAGTAGTACTTAACTATGAACTGATTACAACATGTACAGCTGCTTTTGAAGGCAATACAATATGTAGTCGGCAAGAATTATGGCTTTTTTCCTTTGTATCATTCATCATATTCTCTAATCTCTAACATTCCTAAAATGCTTCATTGTATGTAGTGAACTCTTAGCTGTAACTTCAATTTTTAAAAAGACACAAACTGTAAAAAAAGTGTATTTAGCAAATTCTTTTTTAAGTATATATTATTGATTATGCTCTTACAGTTGTCCCATTTTTTCTCCCCTTTATCCCCCTCCGCTCTGCACCCGCCCTCCATCCAGCATCCCCCCCACCCACTTAGTTCATGTCCATGGGTCATACATATAAGTTCTTTGGCTTCTCCATTTCCTAAAGAATTCTCAAACTCCCCCTGTCTTTTTAGTACCTACCAATTATGCTTCTTATTCCCTGCAGCATTTCCCCCACTCTCCCTTCCCCTTCCCCTTCCCCACTGATAACCCTCCATGTGATCTTCATTCCTGTAATTCTGTCCCTGTTTTGGTTGTTTACTTAGTTTCATTTTGTTTTTATTTTTTAAGTTCAGTTGTTGATAGTTGAGAGTTTGTTGTCATTTTACTGTTAGTAGTTTTGAAATTCTTCTTTTTCTTAGATAAGCCCTTCTAACATTTCATACACTAAGGGCTTAGTGATGATGAACTCCTTTAACTTTACCTTTCTGGGAAGCACCTTATCTGCCCTTCCATTCTAAATGATAGCTTTGCTGGATAGAGTAATCTTGGATATAGGTCCTTGCCTTTCATGACTTTGAATACTTCTTTCCAACCCCTTCTTGCCCATAAGGTTTCTTTTGAGAAATCAGCTGTAGGTTCATGGGAACTCCTTAGTAGGTAACTCTCTTTTTCTCTTGCTGCCTTTAACATTCTCTCTTTATCTTTAATCTTGGGTAATTTAATTATGAGGTGTTTTGGTGTGTTTCTTTTTGGGTCCAACTTCTTTGGGACTCTCTGAGCTTCCTGGACTTACATGTCTATTTCCTGTTCCAGATTGGGGAAGTTTTCCTTCATTATTTTTTCAAATAAGCTTTCGATGTCTTGCTCTTCCTCTTCTGCTTCTGGAACCCCTATGATTTGGATGTTGGAACATTTAAAGTTGTCCCAGAGGTTCCTAAGCTTCTCCTCATTTTCCTGAATTCTCATTTCTTCATTCTGTTCTGGTTGAATGTTTATTTCTTCCTTCTGTTCTATATCTTTGATTTGAGTCTCATTTTCCTTCTTTTTATTGTTGGTTCCCTACACATTTTTCTTCCTTTCACTTTGCATAGCCTTCACTTTTTCCCCTATTTTGCAACCATACTCAACCATTCCTGTGAGCATCCTGAGTAAACCAGTGTTTTGAACTCTGCATCTGATAGGTTGGCTATCTCCTCGTCACTTAGTTATTTTTCTGGAGTTTTGATCTGTTCTCTTATTTGGACCATTTTTCTTTGTCTCAGCACACCTGTTACATTGCAAGGGTGGAGCATTAGGTAATAGCCAGAGTGGTGCAACCCATTTTGCTGCATTGTGGTGTAGTATAGATGAATGTTTGTTCTTTAATTTCTTAGTTGTCAGACTTCCATACAGTTCGATTTTTCTGGCAGTTCTGGTTGTTTTTTGTTTTTAAATTGATTGTTGTCCTTCTTTTGGTTGTGCAAAGAAGCAAAGTGAACCTACCTATGCCTTGCCAGAAGCCCGTATTTAGCAAATTCTTAAAAGGCAACATTTGTAAGGCTTCTTCCAATGCCACATATTTGCAGTTCTCAATCTCTGTGTCCTGAATAGAGTGCTGTACAATAAAATTTACTGCGGGTCTTTCAAAAATCATTTTAGGAAAGGATGATCAAAGATAATTCATCCAGCAGTACAATAAAACTATACCACAAAAAATATCTTAGGAAAGAACTGAAAGAATCTAATAACATGACTATTTGAAAAAAATAGCCTATAAATGAATTTATGGCAGGTACAGATTTTTATATTAGTTAATTTGTAAAGAAAATATTGCATTGCTGTCCTTGAATGCTATAGTTGGAGAACATTTTGAATGGAACCATGTTGGCTACACTTGTAGTGTTTGGTGGTCATTTAACTACCTGAACATTTCCTACAGTTTTTACGCCTGTGTCATAGAAAAGATCTCACAGAACCTCTAGTGATGGTTTGATATTACCTATAGAAAATTACAAGTTTTTACTACTTAGAATGAATTAAAAGTTAAAGTTAGAATAGCATTTGCATACCCTCAGGGGTATGTGAGCTGATTTGCACACAGGGTCTGATTTCTGGAAATGCTCTGCCATCTCTCCAGGAGGATTCCCTAGACTTTCTACACAGAAGAGCCACTATAAGAGGTTCAGTATGTGTGATGGAGTAGGCCTTTCTGTATATTGTCTGGAAATCTTTGTAGGAGTCTTGACGTAAAGACAACCCAAGATTTTATTTTCCATTTCAAAACAGCTTGAAGTCTACATTATATCAAATATTTTTTATGTCATACATTTAGGTGAAGTCCATTACATTGAGACAGCAGCGTTATTACTGGTATCCACATTTCATTCTATGTTTACAATAAAAAGCTCCAAGGTATAAGCCCAAAGCCCTAACCATATGATGCTGTGTCTTCCCTCATTCACTTGTGAGACCTTTGTTGAAGGCCTGCTCTGTGCTAGACTCTGCTGTATTTTCTTTTTTTTAAAGTATATTTTATTGATTATGCTATTACTGTTGTTCCAATTCCCCTCCCCTCCCGCCCCCTCTGCCTGGTACCCTCATTCCCTCCAGCAATTCCCCCACTCTTAGTTCATGTCCATTGTTCATGCATATAAGTTCTTTAGTTTCTCTGCTTCCTATATTATTCTTAACATCTCCCTGTCTGTTTTGCACCTACCAGTTTGTACTTCTTAATCCCAGTATCTTTCCCCCCATTCTCCTCCTCCCCTCTCCCAGCTGATAACCCTCCATATGATCTCCATTTTTATGATTATGTTCCTATTCTGGTTGATTGCTTAGTATGTTTTTGTTTTTTAGATTCAGTTGTTGATAGTTGTGGGTATGTTATCATTTTAATGTTCATAGTTTTGATCTTCTTTCCTTAAGTCCCTTTAACATTTCATATAATAATGGCTTGGTGAGAATGAACTCCCTTAGCTTTACCTTGTCTGGGAAGCTCTTTATATGCCCTTCAATTCTAAATGATAGTTTTGCTTTATAGAGTAATCTTGGATGTACGTCCTTGCTTTTCATCACTTTGAATACTTGCCAATCCCTTCTTGCCTGCGAATTTTCTTTTGAGAAATCAGCTGATAGTCTTATGGGAAATCTTTTATAGGTTACTTTCTGCTTTTCTCTTAATGCTCTTAAGATTCTCTCTTTATCTTTAACCTTTGGCATTTAATTATGATGTATCTTGGTGTGGTCCTCCTTGGATCCAACTTGTTTGGGACTGTGCTTCCTGGACTTGTATGTCTATTTCCTTCACCAAATTAGGGATGTTTTCTTTCATTATATTTTCAAATAAGTTTTCAATTTCTTGCTCTTCCTCTTCTCCTCCTGGCATCTCTATGATTCAGATGTTGGTACATTTGGAAATGTCTCAGAGCCACCTTATTCTCTCCTCATTTTTTTGAATTCTTGTTTCTTCTTTCCATTCTGGTTGAATGGTTATTTCTTCCTTATGTTCCAATTTGTTGATTTGAGTCCCACCTTCCTCCCCTTCACTGTTTCCCTGTGACGTTTTCTTCATTTCAGTTAGTGTAACCTTCATTATTTCCCTTATGCTTTTGCCATACTCAATGAGATCTTTAAGCATCTTTAGCACCAGTGTTTTAAAGTCTGCATCTGATAGGCTGGCTATCTGTTTGCTTAGTTCTTTTACTGGGGTTTTGTTCTATTCTTTCATATAAACCATATTTCTTTGTTTCCTCAATTTGGAAGCCTCCCTGTGTTTGTTCTGTGCAGTAGGTAGACCTATTTGATACCCTGCCTTGGTGCACCTGTTACATTTTATGGGGTGGAGCATTAGGTAATCACCAGGGAAGGGTAGTCCACTTTGACATTTTGTAGCTTTGTATGTGGGGAAGGGGTCAGAGAGGGGGCAATGCTGCTGCCTGACTGCTGGAGGCTTGTTCAGCACTTGCCTGCTTTTTAGTCACTTATGCAACTGGCGCTCTTCTAGCTGTTGCCCTGGTGGTGATTCCCAGAGTAGGTGGGTTTGTGTGCATTCTAAGACACTGCAGGCCCTTTAAACAGACTCTCCTGAGACACTGGTGGTTTCTTCTGCTGCCCCAACCCCTACTGGTTTTCGTCCAGGAGTTATGAGGCTTTATTTTCCCTGTGCTGGAACCCTGGCCTTTGCAGTCTGGCCTGGGGCTCACTCCCCAGGTATCCCTAATGTGGGACCACTCATTCTACCACCTCACTGCTGCTACACCACATCCTTTCCACCCAGCTCCCTGTCTCTACCCCTCCTACCCATCTGGACGAATATGTCTTCTTAAATCCTTGGTTGTTGGTCTTCCATAGAGTTTGATTTTCTGGCAGTTCTGGGTGTTTTTTGTTTTGAGGTTAGTTGTGATCCTTCTTACGGTTGTGGAAGGAGGCAAAGTATGTCTGCTTATGCCTCCATCTTGACCTGAAGTTCCGCTGTATTTTCTGCTATCACTTGTGATTTGTTGAGGATGCCTCCACCTCACCCCTATTTTCGGTAGTAGAAATGGTCCATGCATATGGGAGGTACAGCAACAGGAGGTCATTTATATAACATCTAACTGCCGTTCCCCTGTTTCATAATTCTGTTACTTGTGTTTTTAAAAGATTTTATTTATTTATTTTTAGAGAGGAGAAGGAAGGGAGAAAGAGAGGGAGAGAAACATCAATGTGTGGTTGCATCTCACGCTCCCCCTACTGGGACCAGGCCTGCAACCCAGGCATGTGCCTTGCACTGGGAATCACACCGGCAACCCTCTAGTTTGCAGGCTGGTGCTCAATCTGCTGAGCCACACCAGCCAGGGCTCTTACTTACTATAACTCCCAGAAGGCAGGGCATACCACTTGGGACTCTGTTTGTAAATACTGATTCTTCCTTTAGAATCTGAGCTTTGAATTTCTTTTATCTCAATTTTTGTCTTTTACAGAGAAGTAAGATGAGGAAA